GGAAATAAAATGGCTCCGTCCCTGTTAAAATATGTTTTTAAACTTTTAGTTTAAAATTATAAAACTAAACATCCTACAGTATTTTTTACAGTCTTTATTTTAATGTTACAATTAATCCTGGATCCCTTTAATGTGTTTAAAATAACAGATTAAACACATTTTAGTCTGAAGGGATGTATTAATATTTTTAACTGCTTTAGATTTTATTTAACTTTAAAACACTTAAAAACAAAAGGAGCTAAAATAAAAAGAAAACACAACAGGACGACAGCACAGCTTCATCTCTCTGAAACTCCTTTAAAACTTTTATTTTCTAATTCAACTTAAAGCTGCACAGATACTGAGGACTGCGTCACCCTGAAGCCCCTCTGCAGGTCAGATTATCTTTGCTGGGATTATAATCTGGATCAGTGCAGCTTTAAGTTGTTTTATGATGGGAGCAGGAGATTTAAAGGGACAGTTCAGATATTTTATCATCTCCACTTCAAATGAACCAAACTATCCCTTTAAAGTGAGGGACAGGCTTCAGACCAGGACCTTGCAGGTCCAGCAGTACCTGGAGACGTGGGCGGGGTCAAACTCCAGACCCCACCCCTCACAGTCAGCCACACTGCATCATGGGTAAAAAAAACAGAGTTTGTGTGGGAGCAGTTTGAAGTGAGCTCTAACGATGGCTCCGGGTCTTTACCGGTTGTTCTGCCGGGCCTTATGGAACGGGCTGTTTGGTCCCAGGCAGCAGAACTTCTGACGGACTCCAGGGAACCGCAGCGCGAGGAAGAGGAGGACCACGGGCAGGATGAAGAAGAAGATGACGAGCAGGGCAGCTTGGACCGGATCCGACTCTGAACACAGAAACAGAACCGTTAGGATCAGAGAGGAGGAGGAGACGACCCGGTCCGACTGTGGTCCTGGTACCTGCAGAGGCTCGGGCCGGTCCGCTGTCCACGCTGCCTCCATGACCCGAGTACTGGCAGTCCGGTGGAGCCCAGCCCACTTGACAGTGACAGTTTTTATTACTGTTACACACCTGAAGGACAGAACCATCGGATCAGAACCAGCTGTTTCTGTTGTCCCACCACAGATGTTAAAATTCTTTAAGTTCTGTTTTAGGCTCACCCCGTGACCGCTGCACTTCCTGCGACACTCGTCCACGCCGAACGCCGACACGTCCTCACACTTCTGGTTTAAACAAGCCTGAAGACACAAACTGGATCAGTTAGGGTCTAAAACAAGGACGGCACGAGACCCTTCTGCAATGTAAACAATGTGTTTGTTTTTAATAAACATATTTACACAGCAGCAGATAGTAACCAGTAACAAACAGGGACGGACCTTCCCGGGCCCGCAGGCCGTGCCTTGGGCCACAGTGGCAGGGTCGGACACATCGTCGTCCAGGTGGAAGAAGGTCCCTCTGCAGACCAGGTCGCTGTTGTTGAAGCGGACGGTGAGGATCTGAGCGATGCTGCCCAGCAGGGGGCGCTCCGTACCCCCCTGACACTGGATCTGTCCGCAGAGGACGTCCCTGACACCAAAACCAAACAGGAAGTGTTTACACCGAGGCACACCAAAACCAAACAGGAAGTGTTTACACCGAGGCACACCAAAACCAAACAGGAAGTGTTTACACCGAGGCACACCAAAACCAAACAGGAAGTGTTTACACCGAGGAACACCAAAACCAAACAGGAAGTGTTTACACCAAGGAACGTTGGT